TGTTGTTTGGTGGCTCCAAGCTGCAAGCACATCAGGCCTCCAGAACGGACTCTTCGCCATAGTGCTGGCTTAAACTTACCCGCAAAAACTCCCTCACGACCGTTCTCAATTCCTAGACAAGTTTCTCTTTTCTACCTCCTGCAGCTGTTGTTTGGTGGCTCCAAGCTGCAAGCATCAGGCCTCCAGAACGGACCCTTCGCCACAGCAAAACAGCACCTAATTGCGTGCCGAAACGTTGCGCAAGCTTATCCACAAAAACTCCCCAACGTCCCTTCTGAATTCCAAGAAAACATGTCTTTTCTCTGCCTCCTGCAGTTGTTGTTTGGTGGCTCCAAGCTGCAAGCATGAAGCCTCCAGAACGGACCCTCCGCCACAGCAAAACAGCACCTAATTGCGTGCCGAAACCGTGCTCAAACTTATTCACGTTTGGTGGCTCCAAGCTGCAAGCATCAGGCTCCCAGAACGGACCCTTCGCCACAGCAAAACAGCACCTAATTGCGTGCCGAAACCGTGTTCAAACTTATCCAGAAAAACTCCCTAACGTCCCTTCTGAATTCCTAGAAAAAATGTCTCTTTTTTCTGCCTCCTGCAGCTGTTGTTTGGTGGCTCCAAGCTGCAAGCATCAGGCCTCCAGAACGGACACTTCACCACAGCAAAGCAGGACCGAATTTTCAAACTTATCCACAAAATATCCGTAACGTCCCTTCTGAATTCCTAGACAAAATGTCTTTTTTCTGCCTCCTGCAGTTGTTGTTTGGTGGCTCCAAGCTGCAAGCATCAAGCCTCCAGAACGGATCCTTCGCCACAGCAAAACAGCACCTAATTGCGTACCGAAACCGTGTTCAAACTTATTCACGTCTGGTGGCTCCAAGCTGCAAGCATCAGGCTTCCAGAACGGACCCCTCGCCACAGCAAAACAGCACCTAATTGCGTGCCGAAACCGTGTTCAAACTTATCCAGAAAAACTCCCTAACGTCCCTTCTGAATTCCTAGAAAAAATGTCTCTTTTTGCTGCTGCTGCTGCGACCAGTTTTTGTAGTCTATTGTTTGTACAATGAGACATAGAACCCTCCTGCTGCTCCTGTTGCTGCTGCTGCTCTTCCTCCCGAAGTTCAAAACGCACCCTGCCGGACAGGGAAGCACAGTGGCCCTGAAGGACGGAACGGCGCCAGAATCGAGCCCAAAAAGTGCCTAACGTGTCGTCTAAAACCGTAGAAAAACAATAGTTTTCGACCGGTTTAGTAGTAGTAGCAGTAGTAGTAGTAGTAGTAGTGGTAGTGGTAGTAGTAGTGGTAGTAGTAGTAGTAGTTGTGTAGTAGTAGTAGTACTAGCATCTGGTCTGGAGGGGGTGCCAAGCTCCTAAGCTCCCCCAGGTCTGATTTTTTTTTTTGCTGCCGCACCAACTGACAGATCAGATCTGGAGAACTCACGCCATCAGGCCTGCCAGCCGTAGATCAAAAAACTGGCGAATCACCAGTTTGAAAATGACAAGCTTTCATACTTGTTCAACTGTTTTCAACATGCATTTCCCATGTATTTTGCCATACCTGGCTGTCAAATTGACCGCTGATTCTACGCTACCACGCCTTTGATTTGGGAGGAGGTGTCATCCGGCCGTCCAAGGCACCACTGCAGTCAGAGCCTCTGAACCGGGGGGAATCAAAACGCCAGAATGCGATCGCGTATATTGTCAAAGGAAGTTTAGCAGTCTAAACTCCGTGATACGGACAGTGAAAATGTGGAGAGTGTATGGGAGGGTAGAGATGTGGAGAGATTAGATATGGAGAGAGTAAAGATGTGGAGAGATTGGGTATGGAGAGAAAAGGAATGTGCAGAGATTGGATGGAGAGAGTAGTGAGTAGAGATGGACAGAGTAGAAATGTCAAGGACAAAGACTGCCAAGAGATCACGCAGTCGACAGCCGTGTCAGCCAGAGGGTCAGGCGTTGTCCCTATAGGCCCTCCCTTGTCTTTATAGGTTCTTCCCTCTTTCGAAACTTCCGTCACCCGGCTTGCCCGGGCTCTACTTGTATACTGGTATTGGTACAAGTGGTATGATATGTACATATAACATATATACATTATATATATATATGATATATTAAGATTTAAAATTGTAAAATGATATATATATATATATATGTAAATATATATTAATGCGTGTGTGTGTGTGTGTGATTTATACATTTGTGTTTTCCACATGGCCCTCCAATGCAGAGAGATCTTTGTCACCGTCCCAGGTAGGACGGGACATCGCTTGGGTTCCCCAGCATTGTGTTTCTTGGTCCGGACATTCACTTGCATTCGCAAATGGTTTTCTGAAGGTTCAGGTCAAAGGTGAAAGATGTCTCTACGATTTTGGATACCCAAAAAAATCGTGATGGCAGTAGTAGAGGAATACTGATAAACCATCAAGGTTAGAGGTTCCCAAATTTGAGACGTACCCATAAATCTGGTATTTGATCCCAATATTTGATAGGGTCAGACAATTTCTCTTTCTGGGCTGAACAACCCATATAGCACTCGGGGAATTCAAAATTCGGAGCCGATCTTGGTAGTCATACGAACCCATTCCTACACATGACCTGACATAAATTGTGGAAAAATGCTGGTGGACCAGGTCCGTATTTCTTATTCTTTGAAAACCAAGTTATGTATTCAACAAACTTGGACAATAAACGCATATCTGAAAATCTATATGGTGCAAACTCCGTATTCCCAAAGATTGTCGCCAGCCAGGCTGCTTCCAGTGAGATTCCAGTGCTGTGGCGAATATGCCATGCCAATATGTGAAATTTTTGGACCCATGAGCAAACACTTTTATCCCCCAAGGCCTGAAACGCAAGATCTAAGAGAAGACAGGCTTGTGGGCACTCGACGCTGCAAGGCCTTAGAATCAGACGCCGCACAACCACCAGTGGCCAAACCCATGGCTACGCTTCAGTGAAGCCATCCAAATTGAGAAAACATAAGGGTGAGGTGACTGCGCACAAATCACAAATATGTTTGTTCAGAGATTGCAAAGCCACATCACTAACTTATCAAATAAAAGCTGTCAGTGAACGCAGATTTAGGATTCCCTTTTTTGTCTCCTACCGCGACCAGTGCTCTGCCAATCTTTCACATAGCCGACGTGGGTAGAACGCCGTTCGCGCAGTGTCTTTGCCCTGCACCACAGCATGATCATGACCTCCCGGACAACAGGTGCCGATCGAAGAACGCAAAGATGGATCAGTTGTCAGCACTGTCCAACCTGACAAACGTTGACTCTTGGCAAGCAAAAAGAAGGATTGCCTCCCAAAAGAAATTCCATACGTAGCCAGAGAAGGGATCAAACATGACCCAAAAAACCGCCAACATGGAATTGCTGCTACCACAGGGCTAGCGTTTTAAAGCCCAAAACCAACAACTTCCATTTTCTTAGAAGCGTGTATCATGACAAGCTTGCCGGCATACATCATTGCTGCGCACCACAAAAACCGTACATCTTGGCTTCAATCTCTGAGGCTTTTTTAAGATTAACAAAAACAGATGGAAACTAACGATGATCAAATTGCTGAGAAACACTTGTGCATCAGTTCTCCTTGCAATGATCGCAGGCCCCACACACAAGAGTGAATCTTGACTTTGTAGGTCTGAATACGGTTGGCAACCAACCATTGCTGGAAATCCAAAAGGGGTTGGCAGTGCTTCCATCCATGGCACCTGCTTGACCACTCGAAGTACAGATCACATTCTTGTCTCAAGAGGGATGGTTTGGTTACAGCCAAGGAGTTGGCTACGATCCGGTCTGAATGTTTTTTTTTGGCTCTCAGGCGTCTTTGCGACTGCTTCTTGTTCTTGTTCTTACGTAGGTTCTGGAAAGGGGAGTAGGCCGTGCAAGGTGTGCTGATCCAGTAGCAGCGTGGCCTCGCAGTCTCGGCCAAGCGAGCAGCTTTCCTGCGTGACTTCTCTGTAGCCAAATCATAGCCAGTGGACAAAGTAATGCGACGAGCATCTAGACCAGCTGCAAGGCAAACCTCTGTCAATGTGCTGCGACGGTCGCAGCAGATCTCCCATATTTGCTGTTGCCCCTTCTTGTCCACGACCCCATGTCCCGCATCTGCTGATGAACTCACTGACATGCTGCTGCTAGATGGTGACGAACGACAAGAAGACTTGGTACTGGAGCTTCCATCTGAGCTGGTATAGCTCCCAGACTCAGACTCACTGCTGAATCCTTCATTGTCTGATTCCTCGCTACCAGACACCCCACTGGTAGCTTCTTCACAGACAGAATCGCTACTGCTGGTTGACGACATGTTGCGCTGGTCCCTGGTAAAATTGTGCTGATTGGTACACCACAACAACAAAATTGTGATGTTGCAATGGAGGTGCTTCATTAGTGTGCTGATGCGTACACCACAACACAGGTGCAAAGGTGGCTAAATGCAATCTGATCTTTTGGTTGTTATGATTCAGTGGCCATGTGGATTCTTGAGGTGCCTGGCATGCAGGTCTTGAAACTAGTAATTCGTTGGACATAAGTATGTGACTAAAAGGTTTCTGGCGATGTGTTTGGATACACCTACGGCTGCATGTTCCCCCTACAGCCTTCAAAGCAAGACAGCAGGATATCTCAACAATTCAGCCACCACCAAAGATGACGCTATGCACTAAATGTAGTCGTGCAAACGAATTCCGGACCTCTGATGTGACTGGCACTTGCAATTAAAACCAACTCTCTTTTGTAGGTCAGCGTGTCGCGCACTGTTTGCCGCGCCAAGCCATCAGGAGCCAGGCCTGCTCAGGAAAGCAAGCTTGATAAGCCCTCATTTGTCTGAAGTCTACAAACATTGGGAACAGATCAGTGTCAGTGTCAAGGATGCAAAGTTGCGAACCAAAACATTCAAGGGAAAAAACAATGCCAATTTTTTGAGCATGTCTTCAACAGGCCACAGGCAAAACGACCAGCGCATATTTCTGGTTTTCCCGGCAAAGCTGTAGTCTGAACCCCTGCTGCTACCACTTGCCGGGGCAAACGGCATCTGACACAACGCCGCCCGACAAGAAATTGATAAAATCGCTCTTGCCACAATAAAGATTCGGATACTTTTTTCTTTTTGATGCCAGGGCGTTCAACTCATCAGTAGTGACTCCAACTCGCAAAGACAACCACGGCCTACTGCCAGAACCACGTTTGGTCTTGTAATCCTGGTATTCTCGGTGGAGATCATTTGGGTCAGAGGCAACCCGAAGCTTTGACCCTGGTAACTTGGAGACCAAAGCAAGGACAATACCAAGATCAGGTACTGCTGCAGCAAAGCTTTTGCTGATGGCCACATGCCTTGGACGGGCATTGTAGGCAGTGGCATATTGGAGCCCTGCTGGACCTGCGTCTGGAACAGCTAAAACTGCTGACAGCTCACACATGAAGCAGCCGAGGAGTTGAGCCAATGCACGCAACGCAGTCACTGAAGCTGCCTGGGCCAAGTTATCCACCACAATGACGTGGCCACAAGCACGCCGAGAGGTCAAGGCCGACGCAGCTTCCACAAATGCCTCGTAAGACAAAGAAGCAACGCTGAACGGTTCAGGCTTGAAACCAACTTTCTCCAAAATGCCCGCTGCTCGCTCAATATCTCCAGTGGCCTTGATGAAGGCGAGCCCGCCTGGAATGTTCGAAGGGTCTGCACGCACTGAACCTCTTTGGGAAGACCACCGTGGTTGCCAGCCCTTGCTTCTTTTCGCAGGCGGCTCTGCGGTGCCTGCTTGGCTAGAAGCGCTCAGCCTCCGCTTCTTGGCATCCTCGCCTGCAGCAATGACTTTGTCAAAGGCAGGTGTCTGCAAAGCCTCCATGTCTTTTGTCTTCAAAGCAGGCACCGGCCCACCAGCCACTGAATTCTCAAGCAAAGCTATCCGGTCCGCTTCTGGCATGGATTCAAGTGCACTCACACAGGCTTCTCTTGACCGCAAAATTTCCTGGAAGGTGAAACGGGGCGATTCCTACATCAATAAGTAGGCACAAGCAATTTAAAATTCATGGAGCAGATGCTTTGCCAATAAAGAAAACGTCAGAAAGCATGTGGCTAAGATCATGCCCAGTATCTGCTTCAGGCACTGCCCCTCCCCGGGCTTCACGTTGCTGTTGCAACAATGCTGGGTCCTTCTTCAAACCAGCATCGCGTCTTTGCTTAGGCGCTCGCTGGCATTTGCGGTTCCCAAACTTGAGAATGTAGTCCTTCAAAAGAAGAGGCAAGTACTTGTTCTTTGGACGCAAGCTTTTGTTTCCAAAAGAATCGGTGGTTCTATGAGCCACCTGCTCCTCCTTTGGGGCCTGCCAGGCCAACAAAATATCTTCTTCGGTGCTGTTAAGCATCCGAGCTCTTTGGGCTGTCTCTTGGCGGGAAAGCTCCTTGAGCGTTCGCTCAGTGATGGCACTGGATGCTGAGAATGCCAACAGAAGGGTAACAGCTTGCCGGGCCAGCTTCCACTCAGGAAAATCCGCTGAGGCCTGAGCCCAGCTTTGCTGCACTGACAAACCATGCTGATGCTTCACCAAAGCTACCGGCAGCAACCGAGTCCATTCAGCCCAGGTATCATCAGGGTTCCACCCGGCATGTGCCCAAATGGCTTTCAATTCCACCTGGCTGTCCACTGGAGGAGGCAACCTGTATGCCACAAAACGTCGCTCCCAAGAGCCAGCTGGCCGCAAGCACTGGGCCATCTGCTTCATGGACGAAACCAGAAGGCGGATCCGCTGTAAAGGCTGGAAGAGAAGCTGCGTCTTGTTTCCACCACTTTGCCCTTCCAAGATCAGGGCAGTTTCCTGGAAATACATGATTTTGGTTTTGCGCAGGAACTTCAGAACGTGATGTGCAAACGTGCCCTCTGCGGCATCGGTCAAAATGCATCCTTCCTCAAAGAGCACCTTCAATCCTGAGCGGTGGGCCCCAAAGCCCTTGGGTAAAAACATGTAGCAAGATCGGTGTCCCTGTGCTCTTTATGGCAAACAACACCAGATTGACTTATCAAAAGACGATGCTGGTTTCTGATCTGTGGTAAAACCTTCACTGGCCTTGTGCAGTATATCTACGGTATGCAAAGTGTTAAGCTATTTTGCGCCTGGCTATGCCTAGCTTGTCCTACTCGCTCACAGCAGAACAAAGTTGTCTGATGTTGTTCAAGTGTCTCAAGAAAAACTTGTCCTGGGCCGCCTCTAATGCGACTGGGCAAGGATCTGTGAAGTCACCAGAATGAACCCAAGCACTGTGCTCCCAACAAAGATCTGCAAGCATGGCTGCCAGCACCAAACGGTTTGTATGATCCCCGCTCAATGACTCCAGTAGCTTGCGGGCATCCGCGGCCATCTTGTGCTTGCTCTCAGCCACTGACGCCAAAGCGCCGAAGACTTGCTGAAGCCTGAGGCAGATTCTTGCCAAAGGTTTCTTTCGTGAATCAAACCTTTGCATTGCCCAGCTGAGGTTCTCCAGAACCGACACCGCATCTGCTCTTTCTTCATCTTTGAAGTGGGCAGCGCAAATGTCAGAAGTGCTGAGCCACTTTGCAACGCTGTAGGGCCGTTTTCCACTGACCAGAAGGCGCTCCACCTCCTCTATCTCTGGGTCTGCTGACAATACTTTTTTCAAAGCAAGCATAGCGGTGTGGCACTCGTCAGTGAAATGAAAACGGACATTGCGATGTTTGTTCATAAACTTCCTCCCAGCAGAAAGCTCATCTGCTGCCTCATCTGTGGTCACGAACCAAATCTTGCCAGCAATGTCTTGAAGGTTGTTCTCATCTTGGGAATGCTTGCCCAAGGTTGACTCAAGGGAATCCAGCAACGCATCTGCTCCTCGATCTGCCTTCAACTCAGTGAGGGCCGCAACACGGCAAACTATCCAGGGCGCCTTGCCATTGTTCAAGCTAAGCACGCCATGAACTGGAGGATCTGTGGACAAGCCAGGCGGCCATCGCCAAAGCACCATCTTGCAAGTCACCGCCACTGCATCGCCTCGACCGTCTTGCTGAAGGCCAGCAGCAGAGCAATGGGCAAAGAGTTTCATGTTCACCTGTCTCTCTCGGTCTGCCATGGTCTGAAGAAGTTGCCGGCTCACCGCATCTCCTATGGCTCCATGAGGGATGTCTGCGCCAGAGGGCTGCGCTGACTGGATCCACTTTGGAAAGCTGGTGAAGCTACTGCCTGTTGCCAGCAAAGTACGTTGGAAAATGAAATGGCAATAGCCCACTGCATATTTCTCCAATTCTCTGGTCTCAGGCTCCGGTTCTCCGTCCACCTTCTCTCCACGGCTTTGAAATGCTTCCACTGCTTCTTTGTGCTGATCACACTCAGCATGCCGCAAGATGTTGCAAAGTTTCGGCTGAGCTTGGAACTTCGCAAAGACATTTTTGAACCCTTGTCCCTGGCAGAGGAGGCAACCAATGTGCCAAGACTTCTTTTTGGCATCCCCTGTGTCTGACAGCCACACAACCACGCGTCCAGTCACCGGATGTTTCACCGTGCATTGGCCAAACCATTCGTCTTGGTTTTTGAGAAAGAAACACCGATAGCAAGATCTCACCATAGCTGGAAACCCATGTCTTGCCTTGTGCTCCTCGTTGGTTTCCTGCAGCAGCTTGCCATACAGTGCAAGGCAGAAACGATTCAAATTTGATGGTGCAAAGGTTCTGAAACTAGGTGCACAGCTTACATTTCGCCGTGAGTCAAAGTGACGTTTTGGGGATGTCCATGCCGTGCTGACATCATCGCAATTCCATGGTTTTCTCTGTGTCGTCTGTGTTGAATGCCCGCTTTGACTCTATTTTTATCTTGAGGGACTTTGTATGCGGATCTTTCATCAACTTCTTTTTGCGTAGGTAATGCTTCAAGGCCTTCCAAGTGCAAAACCCACATGTTAAGGTATGTGCAGCGCAATAGAACTTCCAAGTCGTGGTCTTCAGGACGTTGATACACCCCTCCACCCCACCCACGTCATCAACGTAGCATCAATGGCGTCTCCCAAGTTACTTTGACATGTGTTGTCCGCGTAGTATCAACGACGTGGTCGTCCGGACGTTTATACATCCGCCCTACCCAACCCCACCCCACCCCACGTCATCAACGTAGCATTAAGAGCGTCTTCCAAGTTACTTTGACATGTGTTGTCTGCGTAGTATCAAGGACGTGGTCGTCTGGACGTTAATGCACCCCGCCACCCCACCCCACCCCAGCGAATTATGAGCCGTGGTCCAACTATAATGGTAAAATTCAAACTGACACAAGCAGCGAAACCTTGTGAAACAATCATGCGAACAATATGGAACAATTATATATAGCTCGGGCTTAAAAATAAACGAAAACAAACGAAGTAAAGCCATATCCGACATATCGGTGAACTGCAAATCATGATGTTACAAAACGCGGAAATGGTTTCACTTCAAGGGTCTCATTTTGGGTCTCTGTTCACATCAGAATCATCAGAAACTTGTGTTTCGAAATTCATCTACATCAACTTTGATGCAGAGGGTTCCCACCGTGTCCGGCAAATTTGGCCCTTACGGTCCAAAGTTCCTCTGGAGATCGTGGCAGTGCATTTTGACTGCGCATGTTCGCACAAAATCGGGCACTTTAAAACCATCCTATTTGGGTCTGTTTTGGTGCGTCCGTTTTTTTTTGGTCTCCAAAAATGTGTTTGCCTATCACGCTTGACGAGTGTGGCTGTCAGGCCAAACATCTGATCGCTATGTGTGTTTGTCCATATGAAAATCTTTAGCCATTGCACAAGCCGAACGAAGAGACCTAAACTGAACATGTGGCACCCAAATTAATGTTGGGCAAGCAAGCTTCCACAATGCCAGGCAAACTCTTCAAGGAAGCAGCGCTTTGGCCAGAGCCATTGCCACCATCCGAGCTAGAGTCTGAACCGACATCACCGGAGCCATGAGACGCATTGTCATTTTCAGAGCCGCTGCCATCTCCAGAGCCACAAGAGCCACTGCCATCTCCAGAGCCGCAAGAGCCACTGCCATCTCCAGAGCCACTGCCATCTCCAGAGCCACAAGAGCCACTGCCATCTCCGGAGCCACAAGAGCCACTGCCATCTCCAGAGCCACTGCCATCTCCAGAGCCACTGCCATCTCCCGAGCCACAGGAGCCACTGCCATCTCCGGAGCCAGAAGAGCCACTGCCATCTCCAGAGCCATTAGAGCTACAAGAGCCAGTGTCATCTCTCGCGTCACTGTCATCTCCAGGGCCATGAGAGCATGAGGCATCTGATTGACCATCACCATCATCAGACGACATGAAGGACAGAATGACACGAAACGTTTCTGGCACCATGAAAACGGTATGGTTCCATCATGCATCATGCTATAGTGCAACCCGTCTATCTTTTGAATTTTGTGTTAAAGTTATGTTAAAACTTTTGACATGATATTTGAAATATGGTATAAATTTGAATCATGTCCCCTGCATTGACTGCTAAAACGGCAAACTTTCCGGCAAAGTTTCTTGGCAAAGACCAATGACATACGTCTCTGTCACCATCAAAAGCTCCAAATGCCGACTGGTGTTTGCACGATCCGACGCCTATTCATGGGTCACCGTCGTCCTAGGCGAATGACCCTTGCGGTATCATTGTCTCACACCAATGGCAACTCAAATGAAATCTTCTGACATCAGACAGCCAAGCAGGTATCATTGTCTCACACCAATGGCAACTCAAATGAAATCTTCTGACATCAGACAGCCAAGCAGGTATCATTGTCTCACACCAATGGCAACTCAAATGAAATCTTCTGACATCAGACAGCCAAGCAGCCCTGCAGGAGCTTCAACACTGCCCTTGTCTCTCGCTTCTCCGAAGCGGTCATGGCTCGAGGGGCCTGGCTTCCCAAATTCCAATCTGTCTGTGTGTCTGTCCGTTCTCTGTCTGTTTGCTTGTAGAATGAAATTAGATGGATAGTCTGGCAAATTCAAGGCGAGGAACATGGGCTGAAGGCTTTCCCTCTGAGAGCTTGCGGGTTTCACAAACGAAGAACTCGCAATCGTGCCCACTCCATGGGCACTTTAAGAGCTGGAGCTCCTTGCAGAACCGCGGGAATTTCTTCCGCTGTCGGTAGAGCCACCTGTAGGTCAAGTGGCACATTGCAGGAAACGAGAGAGGACGGATTGGGAAATGGATCAAGTGAATGGATCATGTCAAGGGGCAAGCACATGACTGCAACAGAACGTTTTAACTCGAAATCATCTGGCGCGTGTCACGCCTCACTTGTGACACCGTCAGCCGGCGGCCTCCCAATGATGCCCCTGTTTCCACGTAGATGGCTGGATCATCTCTGAGACCCAAGATGTGCGCATCTTGGTTTACCTGAAAATGGCCGGTGGTCTTCGAGATGTATCTCATATTAAACGTAACCTCAGAAACACAACTCTTCAACCTGTCAGCCACCTTGCTCACATCACATCGTGGACATCAACCCCAGTAAAGATACCAGGTTGCCATCTACATAAAACGGTGTTCCGGTATAGATGTTTTGTCTGATGATGGAAAGGGTCTGCTCAAACACCCCTGGATGGGAAATCTGCGTGACAGGTCGCTTGGTACATGCCAAACTTCAGAGTGCTTTGACAGATCCACTTTTGGATGCAGTTTCTACGCAATGCGTCCTTGGCTTGCCGAAGCATGGCACATGCCTTGTCCACATACGAAGAATCGCTGCAGCCATGCCCAAAGGGCCTGCCCAAGATCCATGGATTCTACAGCATGCTGGCTCTTTAGAGTGTCCCTGCTTCACAACTGGTACAGCCTACTTGCCGGACAGTTGCACACTAGAGAAGCCATGATGGATAAAAAGAAGCCACACAAATTGCACACTGGCCGCTGGCCTATACGCCCGGGACTGGCCGTGTTCCCGGACCATCTCCCTGACGCAGGTCCTCAGCTTCCTCATATCCAAGGCATCCACGTCCACATGGGTGGCCTTTCCGTACCGCTTCAGCACGGTCTCAAATCGATCCTGCGCGTGACAGAAACACCCAAGCAAAGATCCAACATAGCATCATCTCAACCCAATTAATCAATCTTCGGCTCCTTTGTGACGCACACCATCCTCAGCAGGATGATGTTGAACCATTGGGATCGAAGGCGCAGGTTGCGGAAGATGATCAAAAGCGACGATGTCTTATCCAGTGCACGCACCGCCTTCACAAGATGGGAATCAAGTTAACATGCTTCCCTTACTGCACTGTTGGTCACTCAGCCTGTATACATGTGCCAGCTGCCTCAAAATCAAGCCCCAATCAAAAACACCGGCCACGATCACAAGCCATCAAGCCAAGACACGTTGTTGATCTTCCTGGTCACCAGGCGTTCAATCTCATGGCCCATGAGAACTCCAGCCGACACCCGTGTCAAGCCATCACGCGGGGCACGGCTTTCCTTAGGAATAGGGATGCCATAGTTTCAAAAAAGTGTAACCGCAGTTGTTGACAATGTCAATGTTCAGCCAGACCATTGGGAATTCTACAAGTGCCCCACGCACATGTCAAAAAATTGCAGCAAATGTTTTGTGATGGTACTGACCTGGCACATATCCAAAATGCTTCCAACCTGCAAATCGAATCAAACCTTCTGTGCGCTCACACAGCTCAAACCAATTTTTTATCATGGTGTGTTTTGCTTTACGATCCGCTGATCCCAGCACTTGATCCCAGCACTCTTACGACATCATGCCCCAGCATCCAGCTGATTGCGCAAAATGCGCAGGCGAACTGCTGCCAGAGCGTAAAACCTGCAGAAGCCAATCAATTTATCTGCTAGCAGCTATAGCCGGCAACATGATGTAACATGGCAATCATTCAGAAAATTCCATTCCAAGCTCCTCATTTAAAAAAAAAACATGCTTTGCTTGCCTGTCTACAAGCGATGTAATTCATCCCCAGCAAGAGCCAAGAAGCTTCTCAGCATACTTTGCACCAATGCCACGCGGTGCTTGTTTCTGCGGGAGGCTGCTTCTCCGCAATGCAAGCTCCGCTTGCTTGTCGCGAAGGAGACGCCAGGAGAAGCAGCGGCGGAGCTTCGCGTATGTCAGGTCTCCTGGCAGGATGAAATTGGAAACTGGCAATGTGACATATGTTGGGTCCCCTGGTAGGATTGAATTGGAAACTAGAAATGATTCTGTTCCAAATTCTTTCTCGGCCATGAAATCAGTCATCAAGGTCTCCTGTTCAAATTCTTTCCCTGGCAATGAAATCAGTCAACAGCGTCCTGTAGGATTGAATTGGAAACTAGACATGATTCTTTTCAACTTCTTTCTCGGCCATGAAATCAATCATCAACGTCTCCTTTGTCACAAGCTTTCGCCAATTGCTGGCGCCACCTTCTTTGCTTCACCTGATTTTGTTTCGTTCTTTTCAGTCGACGCCTTGTGTCACGAGCATGGTTGCTGCTCATGGCGCTTAACGAAGCCACTTGGATGCCAACATGGCCATGCGAACCATGGTGTGTGTTGGTATGAGACTCTGAAGGCAAAAATTCCAAAGAGACCTACTGACTGAACGGAATCCGACGTAGGCAACTTGTCGTTTCTTTTACCATTTGTCACCTAGATTCTGTTGTGCATTCATAGCTCATGTGGCCAAAACATGGCCTGGCCAAAACATGGCCTGAGTTGCTGGTATGTCAAGCGGCGGAGTGGATAGGTTTGGCTACCAGGCATGAAAATTTGTTAAAAGGAAACAGTTAGGCTAGCATGCTTTCCCGCAAGAGAGAGAATAAAATATCACTGGATTGCTCTGATCCATACGCAAAACATAGTGTGGTGCTCTTTCAACTTTCGGCCATCCCAACAGGCTTGGATCCCAGACAGACTGGCACTTTGCGTAGATTCGGCCTGGCCCGAGTTCGGAGGAAGCAGGTGGCAAAGGGGGGCACAGAGTGAATTCAAATCTGGTTCCGAATTCGGAAAGGCAGGCTATCAGTCACAGGCCCTGGTACTAGCAAGGTCACAAACCAGGGCTATTGATTTGCAGGGGGGCGCTGTGAATTCAAATCTGGATTTGAATTCGAAAAAACCTGCTGCAACCGTCCCGGCCACTCAGAATTTGACTCATGCTAGGAGAAAACTTGGCAACTAATCTGCCAGCTTCTGTTTTTGCCGCGTCAGCATCTTTGGGTTTGTCACGTTCTTGAAGCCTCCCTGCCAGCACCAGAACCACGCACAGCCCAAAGAATGATCGACTATCTGATGGTACCAATGTTGCCAATAGGAAATATCAAACCTTGGCTGAATATACACTAGTATGATTGGTCCATTGGCCTGCAAACTCGGCAGGGCATGAGGCTAATCCGAAATGTCAAAACTGAAAGTGTCTCTAATCTATAAAGCGCTTCCCACTCCAGCAAATTCTGAACACATGTTTTCTGGGACCCTTAACAAGGAAGCACTTTTCAAGAGCAGGTAGCCCTTTTCAAATTGGACACTACCCTTCCGGCTCATCACGCTCAGCTGTCTCCAAAAGACTTGCCTTGGCCAGCTTCAGGGCATCAGTCTTGTCCTTGAGATCTGATTCGGCCAACATCACATCGTGCTCCAAGCGGCGGACGAGATCGAGCTTGTGGTGCTCAAACAACTTCTCAAAAGAAACGTTTGATGTGGGTGAGCACAAGATGGGATTGAGGCTCACAACCAGCTGTTTCACAGCACATGCCTTCCAGAAACTGTTCAAGTAATCTGGGCTGGGCGCGCGAAGAACCCAATAGTCGAAGGCCACACCAGAGCCAGCAATGCTGTCCAAGACGATATGTTTGGAGCCGACCTGCATACAAGTTTTTCCGGGGCAAGAAAAGCAAATGCCCTGATCTCTAAACATGCAGGAAAACCATTGGGAGGGGCATTAGGGTCAATTCAGGTATCGCAATCGAAAAAATATGTTTTTTCCGCAGCCCAGCCTCGCTGAAAGCACTGGAAGGCAAACTCAACTGGAAAAGGATCATCTCCGTATTGTAGCCACCCTTGGTGAAGTAAAAAGCAGCGTGACACGCGTCTGGCAACGAACGAAAAAGAGGTACAAAATCCGTTGATTCCGGGCGCTTTGCTTGCTCAGTATTCTTCGTCAGGTAAGCTGATAAGCCTGGCAATGCATAGCTGACTGGAAACTCCTTGTCACCTGCATCCGGCTCAGTCTCGGCCTTCGACACCATGAAGAAAGTCCAGCGTGGTGTGTCAACTGCAGGCTTCACATCCAAAGCCGAGATCTGGTTTGGCAGCATCTCCACCTTGAAGATTTCAACATTGAAGACGTCGTTGATGGCAATCCTGTCGCTTGGACAAGGCTTCGCATTGGAGCTAACCCACCAGCCCCAACGTTTGAGTGCATGGAGCTGTCCATTCTGAACCTTCAGGCAACCAGCTGCGATACTCTGAAAAAACTTCGGCTCCAGCGGCGTCATCTGCAACAGCATCATCTGACTCGAAGGGACCTTGAAATCAGTGGTCTTCCTCACCTTGCGAGTGTCATTGGCGTCGCTGAGGGAGAAGCCAAGCTTGCGAGCCATAGAGCTTTGAAGTGCCTCAAGCGAAGGTCAAGCGGCCGGCATTCCGCAACAACCTATGATTGAGTCATTGCATCTGGAAGGAAGACAAGATTGTAATAAGCACACACTGGGTGGCATCCATTTTGGGAGCGTTTCGTGTCTCTTATCTGCAGCCCCAAAGATATACAAACATGCAGGATTCCGTATGAGCACGTCTAGCTCAGAGTCGCTTTCATGATATCCATGTTGGCAGGCTTGATTTAATCAAGCGATTTTTTTACCAATGCATCTTGTTGGCAGAAGTTTCATGGGCATCCATTTTGGGTGTGTTTCGTTGTCGTGTTTCTCAATGAGTTACAACGACAACAGAGCCACTGTCTAAAGACATCGTTGCTCAAACAGATTGCTGGTATCTCACCACTTCAAAATGGTAGCCTATCTGAGAATAGCTTTGTTGAACTCCCAAATGGCAAAAAATCTGTCTACATGAAGCAAACAATATCTGCACCAAATCCCTTCAATTCAGCCGAGGCACAAGGATTGCTTCGGTAACAACGGGGTAGGCAACCTGCTGCTCCAGGTACGCACAGCCACGGATCGCAGCGGCAAAGTAAGTGTTCTCAAGCGTCTCATGGCTGACCGCCAAGAAGAAAGGCATGGCCACAGCCGATGTTCAGATGCTGGGGCGGGCTTACAGGAAATGAAAACGAGATCTACACCTGATGCTCATATCCGGAGAAAGATTGGTATCAAATGGATATTCCACACCTCAGCTCTCTTAAAACAAGGTCATTGGCAAACGAAGCTTGCACAGAGAGAAAGCGTCTCTTGAACAAGATGTCCCTTTGCTGCTGTTAACAGTGGTTGGAGCACAATTATTCTACAAAAGTTTGAGCTCATCGTCTGTCTAGCACCAAGTTGGTCATGTTTTCCTGTGCTCCAAAGTGCAAGGTCGCGCTGGCAGCCAACGCCGGAAAACAATATACTATTCCAACCTGCCCCGCTCTTCCACAAGTTTGAACAGCTCTAAAGGTCCACAGTTCAGAACAGATTTGATCGTAGCAGGGAAGATGGGCACATGAACATAATAGAAAGCTACGCCGGTACCCCTGCTGAGTGCCTCAGACTCACCACATGCCCAAGCATAGCCTCATGAGAACATCTTCGCGTCCTCAAGTGCCTGCAACTGTTTGAACTCCTTTTCAGTCACAGTTTCCTTCCCCTTGAAGGTTGCCAAAAGCCCAGCTCGGTGGAAAAGGTTGGTCACATGCGCCTCAACACCAGGCTGCTCAAATTTTGGGTAGACTCTCGGGGCTGCAGGGAAACTACTCCCCCCAAAACCAACACTACTCGAAACAGGTGGGAAGCTTCAGAGATGTATAGTATAGACATTAACCCGATACTTGCGTGTAGTCCAAAACGAAAATTGTCCGCCCGCCTCCGCAGCTTCATGAAGGACCTTCAGGGCAGCAGGGCTGATCTTGAACTCCGTCTTCTGACGCTTCTTGCTCGGCTCAAAGTCAGCTGGAGAGTCAGACGCAGCGCAAGGATCCGGAAGCTCAGACAAGATCGAGCGACACAAACCAGCAATGCGAGCTGCAGGTACCAGTCGCAAGTAGGGATCTGTCTGCACGATGAACATGACATCCTCTGCCTTCCATGGGCAAGCCAACCCAGTCTGACTTGACAGTTGGCTAGCAACAAGTTGAAAATCAATTTCCTTCGAACAATTTGAACACAATGAAGTTGAAAACGAATTTAAAAACACAGTGCCTTGCGGCACTGACCGCCAAATCGACCAGTTCTGGGGACTTCTCGGTTGGCCGCTGACTTGGGAGGCCGACCCAATTTGATCTCCTGCTTCACTGGAACACCATGGCTGTCTCCCTCTTCTTGCGCATGAGCACCAGGCTGCATGGGCTCCTTGTGGTTGCTGACCTCTTGCTTGACCTGAATGCCCTGATGCAGGAACGCACCGATCACCAAACTGATGTGGCATTCCCCTCGCAACACACGAGGCAAAACGTAATGCGGAACCAACAGGCTTGCTGCAGCCATGGAAGACCTCTGTGCTTGGCACTTCCCTACAGCCTCCCAGTGTCCTATGCAAAGTGCTTCAAGCCCAAAGAGAACCGGCAAGATGCTGGCTCCATATTGACTCACACACCCTTGATACTACGCAAGAGAAGATCTAGAATTCGGCACTGTGCAAGAATCTGAACTGATACGACTTTCACCAGTTGCTATGCCAACAAGTTGCACAAAACAAGAACCAACATCTCACATCAAGCATACTGGACACTATGCATCTTTGCTACTTTCAAAGTGGGTGCTTGCGTGCGGCACAGCTACATCATACATTCCCGATCCCGAACCAGGACAATGAAAGCCATTTTCCAAAATCACGATCGCTTTCCAACATGTTAGCTCAAGCCACAAACCGCTTTCATTCCAAAATGTTGGCTCACGCCAGAGGCCGATCGCTTTCCAAAATGCTGGCCCAAGGCATTGGTCATGTGCCAAGCTAGCACTGAGTCACGAAAAAAAACTAAAAGCTCACTTTTTGTCATCCTTTTTGTGATGCTTTTTGTGTTTGACCTTCTTCTCTGCCTTCTCCTTCTTCTCTGTCTTGTCCTTCTTCGGTGTCTTTTCCTTGTTGTCCTTCTTGGGCGTATCTTTCTCATCCTTCCTTGCCACAAGTCACAAGGCGGCAAGTTTATGCATATGTTATGTAGCTATGTATTCTAGCCCCCGGAGTATCTGCCCAACTTGCAACATACCCTGCAGCAACACTACGACAAAAGAAAATATGATCAAAAAGCAAGTATCTTTTTGGGCGTCTTGTTTTTCTCCTTCACCTCGGTATCCGATGCTTGGCCCTCTGGCTCGGCAATGGAAGACGGAGATGAGGAAGACTTCCGCTTCTTCGACCTGGTGGCAGGCAAGACGATGCGCCAAAGCAAAAATAATCCACACCCTTGGCATCCAAGGCAGCCCCATGTGACAAAACGATCCCCTTTTAGAGTCATAGCATGGAAGAAGCGAAGCGGTATCTGTGCGGCAAAGGCGCTTGGAAGCCGTCAGGAGGGCTGCGCGTGCAACTAGGTCGGGGTCGGCCAGCGGAGAATGGCTGCAAAGCTCGTTTGCCAAATGTTGCTGCAAATGCTGCCGGACCACAGTGGAGTGGACTTCGGACTTCCCCAAAGCCACCACAGGCAAAGTCATGCGCAAAGCCCCTAAGCAAGCGCCACCACCTCCCATGGTACCGATGAAAACCCATGATGGAGACAGCTCGTGGCAAAACTCTTGCAACAGCTTCGCGTGGGTATCATGAGGAAATAGCCTTGCTTGCTTTTAGCCAAACCTAAACAGGAATGCTTGGAGGGAAGAAATTACAACACCCCTTGGTTTCCAAACAGGCAAAATGACCTAATCTCCTGTGGACCAAGAAACACGGTGTTGTCAGGATTGGACGCTGTCCGAAAAAGAGCGCGGCCACTGTACCGCTTCGGGTAGTTTCTCTTGCCTTGCTCCACGTCTCCATCAGCATCGCCATCCGATGCATCATCGTCCTCATTCGCAGGCTCTGACTCACCAACAAGGCTGGGCATCACGTTCTCCTTTGTCGCTACATCGACTTTGAGCAAGTCACGCTCAGCTGTGACAGGAACTTTGGAGATGAAGTCGATGTATACATCGGTTCCGGGGTCCACAAACTGCCGTGTCTTCGTTCTCAAAGTGGGCTGGCGGCCAAGCCAACAAAGATAGGCTACTTCCTGAGCCTGAGCATTTGCAATGCCTGAGCATCGGGTGTAGTAGCCCTCGGCCTTCATCTGGGCCACCTTGCAGAGCATGGTAAATACCCACGGGAACATGTAGCATGTAAGATGTTAGGGAAATAAATAGTGGTTGTAAAGCACAAAAAAAGGTTCCCCAGAGACAAGCCGCATCATAGCACAGAACGATGCGCTTGAAAGACAGCTTGCTCTTGTGCAATTCTTTCTCCACTGCTGCCTGTGCAGGAGGCGGTCATTATCTGATTGCCGCAAAACTGGTCCTGCATGAGCCTCAATGACGGGGAAGCTTTTACATAAATTGCTCGTATACCCCAAGCAACAGTTAAACTTGAGCCCCGGCCTCGTTGCTTCTCAGCTTCCCAGACAGAATCACCAAGAAGTCGCGCTGCGACTTCATGCAAGACAAGGCAGCTGAAACGAACTGATTCAAACTGGCAACATTGAGGGAAGGCACGCGTTGATAACGATTTTGTCCCTGATAGAGTCGGATAACCCCATCGTTCTTGGCATCGAAGAAAGCGAGCATTCTAGTTCCCATCTTCGCCATGGTTTGCGCCTGCAGCAGCGCTGAAACCGCATTTGGCTCTTCCAGCCGGGGCCACAACATCACCTGAGTAAGATGATTGTAAAGAAGCACAAGGCAGTCCAGCCTTGAAAAAAAAACAATCATATTGCTAGAATGCCCGTGGCATGGTGACAAAACTTAATCATGTTTCCCTGCGACTGAAGCGCTAGCTGCTTCTTCAAGAACTGATTGGCTTGCTCACTGGCATCTGCTTTGAGCTTCTCCAAGGTGTCCGCTCCTGAAGAAGCACTCTGGGCATCCTCTGCCGCCTTCTTCTTCTTGACATCTGCCGCCTCCACTGGCTCCTCATCAGGCTCCCCAACGTACTTGCGGTAGATCTTCTCAAACTCAGCCCAACTTGGCTGAACCTCCTTGCAGCCCACGTAGTCCTCAGGCTTCAATGAAGCTGCCAAGGTATTGGCCAGCAAGCCCTTCAATGACTGGTTGTACTTTCCCAAGAACAGATTGGTGAGAATGCTGTGCAGCTTCTGCAATGGCAAAGGGAGAGCTGATTGCCAAGTCTGGTCGGAGGACTCATTCAAGTTCCACAGCATGGGGTTTTCCCAGAGCTGGTACACTTTCTCGATGGCGCTGCAAATGGCTTGGTTTTCCCCGCGGAAAACATATTTGCGCTGCACCCAGGCAATCATCCGCTTGACAAAAAGCCATGACTGCAATGTCCCTGCTTTGGATGACAAATCATCTTTCTTGCAAACATCACCAGAGTCAGCCCACTGCATTTGGCAGTAGATGCCACGCAGGACATACAACACATCGTTGGAGCTAGGGCACTTCTGACAGATGGTCAATAGCTTGCTTGTTTGGTCAAAGACAGACTCTCTGGAAAAGCGAACCTCTGCCTCTTCAATGACCACAGCTGCCTCGGGGATCTTGTCCAGTGTCTGCCCGATGTGCAAAAGCTGAGCACAAGTGTCTTTGGTCGGCACTCGTCGGACCTGGGCCCGGGAAGTGACACTTTAACACTAATAAATGAAGCCTTGCACCTGTTAGATGCCCATGATAAAACCCAATTTGTTCGAGGGAAAAAACAATCGAAACCGATTGCTTGCAATAAAACATGGAAAGAATCAGAATCAAGATGCGTGACCCCAGGAAATATTTTCAGTCAAGAACTTGGCAATGGTTTCGCCTGTCACTTTCTGCTTCGTCGCCATCAGCGATTTGCGCACCTGCTGAACAAGGCGCACTAAGGCAATGCCAGTGCCACCAAAGAACTCCCGCACACTTTCAAACTGCTCTGACCAGTTGGCTTCAGCCACCAGGAGGTCTGCCTCAGTCAACGAGGAGAAATACTTCCAATCCACAGATGCCGAGCGAGCCAACTTGTAGAAGCCGGCTACCTCACCAGGCGCGTGTTGTTTGGCCATAGCCAGCGCCCACCAGAAAGCTAATGCAACTGCTCCTAAGGCAAATGCCTTGAAGTGCCCCTTGGAAGGCATCTCATGCAAACTATGGGCGACCAACCCCACGTTGAAACTACGGGGCCACAATTGTGGTGCCCGGGGGTGGTCGTCTTGAAAGAAGAGTTGACGTCCGAGTTTCTCCAGTTTGAGAAAGGAGAAGTCTTTGTAGTCGTCAGGGTTCACGCTGATCCAAGCAAGGTTCACTGTGATGTTGCGGACTTCCTGGTGCTTCGTGAGCCTAGCAGGGAATACATGCTTAGCTGGCAACTAGATTAAGTTTCTGCGAAGCTAATCTCACAAAACATTGGCTACCTTTCTTGATGGCAAGACTGACCGCAAGAGGCGAAATGCTGCAATAGCCATGCGGGGAGGGAAGGTTGAGAAGGGAAATGGCAGGCGGGAAAAACTACACAACCTGAGTAGACCGTTTCAGTGACCACCGGAAAAACTTGTGTTCGTAGCAAGGACATGAGAACTTGCAAAATCGAATAAACCAAGTCAACTTCTGCATTTGGTCCAATCAAGCTATCTTGGACATAACACGTTGGTGTCATTGACGGCAATGGCACTATGCCTAATCTGCTAGTACCTTCACAACGGATGAACCTGCTATGGTCAACTAGCATTATTGCTGTAAAGGACACAAAGCGCAGCAGCGCCTCTCGAGAATTCGATCTGTCTGGAAAGCAGCACCGACACCAGCTTCCGCCCCATTCTTCGCCAAGGCATCATAATCGGCTCGCACATGGTGCCATACCTCTGATGCCCACTTGCTCTTCCAGCCAGCCATGATGGCAGATGCGAAGAGGACTGGTCAAGTCTGAAAAAATGGCTGCTGGTCTCCACAGTATTCATGTGGTCGCGGCAGAGAACATGTCACCGACTAAGCGCAAACATGACGTAATCCTTTCTCAGAGATGCGAGATGTTGAACTAAGATATGTGTAGGTTTCTGTAACGTGAAACACACCCAAAATGGATGCCAATGTGCGTGTGAAACTGTCCAACCTCCAAATAGTTATCATCTACAAAAATTTAGTACTTGACACAGAATGATTTCAACGGACCTTGTTGTGTGGAAAGCATCATCAGCTTTTGTTAGCCCCCGATACGGCCAAACTAGGACGAAAATCTGATATCTTAAATCCGAACGCCATCAAAGAAAAACGGCAAAGAATGGTGAGCCAAAGACCCGAGATCCTTGCACACTGTTGCTGCCAAACACTCGCGCCTCTGCTGGCAACATTCTGTTGGGCTGCATGCACCATGCCGCCTGGCATCGGAAAAAAAGGTCGAAAAAAAAATAAACGCCCCGGCAGCGGCGGTAAGCCAAGGATGAACATTAATTTTGAATTTCGATGTTTGGATTGCTGGCGATCCAGCCGCTTTAACTAGACCAACCATCGGAAAAACGTACACACACACACCCCTGAAGGAAGAATTGTCGGACAAATACCCATGAAGGAAAGTGTGCCTTGAACAAGCATTCAGCAGCTGGCATCAGGCTCACAGCCTGGCGACAATGATCGGGCAACAGGCATTGCAAAGAAAGGCTTCGCGACAAAATTCCGGAACGGCTAGGATGCAATTGTGAAACTCTCAACCCTGAAACAAACATATTCTCTAGAGTGTTAAACCTCAAATTCCAGACTTGGAAGTAACAGAGACATCTGCTACACTGGGCAAAACACGTGTTTCGTGTTTGTTTCGGACCCAGCGGTCACAAAGAACCCCCCCCGATGCGTTTGCACTGCGTTCTAAACGCACATGGCGCAAAACCAACATCATGCCATATTTTGAAAACATATAGGTTGGCAACAGGGAAACCTGGCAAACTTGGGGTCTTGAAGGTAAGGCTGTTCCATGCATAGTGACGAATCCCACAAAGTATCCCGAAAATACAGTGAAATGCGTTTACAGCAGCTGTCAAAATGCATTTGAGCATCGCATACAGCACTGTGAAAAAGGTATGATCCAAAACAGTTCCCAAAATAATGTGGGTCAAATGCGTTTATAACCCCGTGAAAAACGCACCCTCCACAGATTCATAATGGACATGAAAAATATCAAAAAAATCCTTATCTAGAGACGGTATATCCAAATATGAAATATATGAATATATGTGCGTGTGTCTACTGTGAGTAAAACTGAGACAAAAGGATACAGTTTAAGCTTTCAGCCAGTGTAGTTTTGAGAAACAAATGCAATAAAGGGACTACAAAGTGCTTGGGACCTACCTAACAAGAACTAACTCGATGCTTTTCCAATAGACAGGAAAATGCACAAGGAGCAGATTCTAATGTCGGCAACCAAAAAAAAAGCAGAGGCCTACGCGTCTTGTCTCAATGCATTTGCATTCATTGCCGAAACGCATACTAATTTCAAAAGACAAAAACTGCCGTGCGCAACGGAAGCAGGAATTTGTCTTTGAATGCCTTTGAAGCAGCGTTCTCAATGCATATGGCACGAAACCAGCATGATGTCATATTTTTGAAGACGTATAGGTTGGCAACAGGGAAACCTGGCAAACTTGGGGTCTTGGAGGTAAGGCTGGAAAGGTTCAAGACATGCAAAGCATTACACCAAGAAGCCCGGAAACACAGTGAAATGCGTTTACAGCAGCTGTCAAAATGCACTTGAGCATCGCATACAGCATGGTAAAAAGGAAGATATGATCCAAAATAGATCCCGAAATAATGTGGGTCAAATGCGTTTATAACCCCGTGAAAAACGCACCCTCCACAGGTTCATAATGGACATGAAAAAGTATCCAAAAAAACCCTTATCTAGAGACGGTATATCCAAATATGAAATATATGAATATATGTGCGTGTGTCTACTGTGAGTAAAACTGAGACAAAAGGATACAGTTTAAGCTTTCAGCCAGTGTAGTTTTGAGAAACAAATGCGATAAAGGGACTACAAAGTGTCTGGGACCTACCTAACAAAAACTAACTCGATGCTTTTCCAATAGACAGGAAAATGCACAAGGAGCAGATTCTAATGTCGGCAACCAAAAAAAAGCAGAGGCCTACGCGTCTTGTCTCAATGCATTTGCATTCATTGCCGAAACGCATACTAATTTCAAGAAACTAAAACAAAACACAAAAACTGCCGTGCGCAAAGGAAGCAGGAATTTGTCTTTGTTTGGGATCAGGCTGCCGCAAAGGAACCTCCCAATGCCTTCAAAGCAGCGTTCTCAATGCATATGGCACGAAACCAGCATGAGTTCATATGTTTGAAGACGTATAGGTTGGCAACAGGGAAACCTGGCAGACTTAAGGTCTTGAAGGTAGGGTTGGAAAGGTTCAAGAAATGCATAGCATACACCAAGTAACCCGGAAACACAGTGAAATGCGTTTACAGCAGCTGTCAAAATGCATTTGAGCATCGCATACAGCACTGTAAAAGGAAGATATGATCCAAAACAGTTCCCGAAATAATGTGGGTCAAATGCGTTTATAACCCCGTGAAAAACGCACCCTCCACAGGTTCATAATGGACATGAAAAAGTATCCAAAAAAACCCTTATCTAGAGACGGTATATCCAAATATGAAATATATGAATATATGTGCGTGTGTCTACTGTGAGTAAACACTGAGACAAAAGGATACAGCTTAAGCTTTCAGCCAGTGTAGTTTTGAGAAACAAATGCAATAAAGGGACTACAAAGTGTTTGGGACCTACCTAACAAAAACTAACTCGATGCTTTTCCAATAGACAGGAAAATGCACAAGGAGCAGATTCTAATGTCGGCAACCAAAAAAAAAGCAGAGGCCTACGCGTCTTGTCTCAATGCATTTGCATGCATTTGCATTCATTGCCGAAACGCATACTAATTTCAAAAGACAAAAACTGCCGTGCGCAACGGAAGCAGGAATTTGTCTTTGAATGCCTTTGAAGCAGCGTTCTCAATGCATATGGCACGAAACCAGCATGATGTCATATTTTTGAAGACGTATAGGTTGGCTACAGGGAAACCTGGCAAACTTGGGGTCTTGAAGGTAAGGTTGGAAAGGTTCAAGAAATGCATAGCATTACACCAAGAAGCCCGGAAACACAGTGAAATGCGTTTACAGCAGCTGTCAAAATGCACTTGGGCGTCGCATACAGCATGGTGAAAGGAAGATATGATCCAAAATAGTTCCCGAAACGATGTGGGTCAAATGCGCTTACAGCCCTGTGGAAAACGCAGACCGCCCAAATGATGCGTAAATACTTTCCATCTTCCTTTTTGGGATATGTATATAGTTGAATATTTATATATATATATGTAAACATATATCTCGCTGCTTGTAGATCTATATATAGCAAAATATAGAGGTAGAATATATTTGGACATATATCGCATGTATCCACGACTGTCCAAAGCAAATAGCTAGAAGTTGTTTTTTATTGATTTTGGTTGGGGGCTCTGACCATCCAAAATACGCGGCCTAGCGTTATTGTGGGCCCATTATCGATTCAAACCTTCTTTGCTGAGTCCAATACTTCACAGACCTATGCCGATAAAATTATTGAGACTGTTTTTGACCAGCATCAGCATCACCTATCAGACAACTGGAAGATAAAACGCATGAGCGTCTTCATGCGCTTCTTTGTGAGCTGTGATTCAGCAAAAAAAAAGTAAAAAGGCCAAATACTAACAACATTGCAAACTACAGTTGGTGCAGTATACCAACCAACTAAACAAACTACAAGGCTAGAAGAATTTGAACTTGACGCTCTCAATTGCTTTCCCGCTTGTAAAAGAACATATAATTCTCAGCACTGGTTCAGACATCAGGCAGCTCAACCAAATCTGATATTTCCCACCGGCTGAGCTGGCCTTCAAATTGCCGCACGCCACAAAGTCCCAGATGACATGAAAGGAGCGAGGGAAACCCGCAATAGCAGTGGCAGTATTGAATAAGAAAGTTGTTGGTTCCAATCTAGAAAATGGTTTGCAAGTTTTTGTAGATTTCGAAATGCTAAGTTCATTTGTGTGAATCAATTGTCAAGCCAGAATCGCCATGACAGTTTCAGAATGACGACGTATACAAGGATTTCATATTGAAACTCAAGCTCCTTCGCTCCCTTCGAACAGCAAGCTAGAGTAGTAGTAGTAGTAGTAGTAGTAGTAGTAGTAGTAATCGTAGTAGTAATCGTAGTAGTAATCGTAGTAGTAATCGTAGTAGTAATCGTAGCAGTAATCGTAGTAGTAGTAGTAGTAGTAGCAGGAGTAGTAGTAGTAGTAGTAGTAGTAGTAGTAGTAGTAGTAGTCGTAGTAGTAGTAGTAGTAGTATATAGTAGTATAGTACTAGTAGTAGTAGTAGTAGCAGGAGTAGCAGGAGTAGTAGTAGTAGTAGTAGTAGAAATAGTAGCAGTGCAATACATCTTTTTCCCTTACGCGCTCCCCCTTGCGTCGGCCGGGGTCGGCGGATTTTAGCTACTTTTTCCTCCTGCTACTATTGCCGCTGGCTGCTGGCGACTGACTATGTGCTGTTCTACCCTATAGAATATAGAAGTGGTACTAGTCCGAAACCAGGGTCAAATGTATTATTCCCTAGCGCGCTCCCCCTTGCGTCTGCCGGGGTCGGCGGATATATATATATATAATTATATATATATATATACGTGTGTGTGTGTACATATATATATATACATATATATATACATACATGTATAATTTAAAGTATCAAGTAGATGATAAATGTACGGATCGTAAATAGCTATGCACTCTTTGTTGTATTGACACTATTTCTGTAATTTGATATGCGCAGTATCTGAACTTGCTCCAAGATACAACCC